GGGTCAGAGCAGGAATTTTCCTCCTCAGCGATCAGATCATGTGAGATACCTAGCTTACGCACCTGCAGAAAATGTTTAGGAAGTCTTAAGAGTGAAAAGACATTCGAATCACTACTAGGAAAAAGTAAGGCTATTTTGTTTATAAAGGAGTATATGTAGAAATATTTGTGGAGCTAAAACAAGACAAGGTAACAACCCCTTCTTTAAACATGCCAAATAGTATGTAAACTTTAAACATGGTTTTCAATACTAAGAAATGCAGATGCCATTAAAGGTTTGTCAAATAGCCATTGCAAGACTTAGAGAAGCCCAACTGGGAACTAGACTCTCATCTTACATAAGCCTGTAGGGATTTTGTTAAATACTTTTAAAGGAACAAGTATTTTGTAATGAACCTGAATTTGCCTGCTAGCTAATTCACACTCAATGGACATTTTTTAATGTTTGATTTTGGTGTGTGAAACTCTGCAAAGTAGTTGGATAAAATTCTACATTGTCTGGTAGGTAATGGGTCTGGGCTGAATCAAATCTTGTCAGGTTCAGATTAGAGTTGACCCCATCTTTAGGGTCACATTTTCCAATCCTCACACCACTTTACAAGCTTCAGTGTGCATGAAATTATAAAACAGGGAGCATGAGAAAATATCTCCCAGGTTGTTTTTGTGGCAAAGGAGCCCAGAGAAATAAAGTGATTTTCAGCCCTTTGAGTTTTATTACTTTCTGAAGAAAGAGAATTTGGTTAGGGTCAGTTTTCAACTTTAACAGTTCATCAGCCCCTAATTGCACTCATTATTACTGTAGCCAGCTTTATATTGGAGTTTGATTAATAACGATATGCACTTCAGTAACACTTTCCATTAAGTGGCACTAATTATACTGTAACTGCTGTTCAACAACCAAGCAAGTGTAACTACAATGTCATTTTTATGGAGCCAGATTTGCTCATAAGGGTACTTTGATAATGCTAATGTGGGAATGAAGTAACAAAAAATGTACTGACAAAGTTACTATTGCATTAAATCCTATAGACTTAAAACTGTGGCATTCTGAGGATTCTGTTGGCAGAAGAAATTATGATAGAGACTCAGCAAAAGTCTTCAGAATATAATTAACATGCCATCATCTGCTTAGGATTAGTGTGAGTACTAGGAAACCACATTGCTGATATAAAAGTATAAGATTTAATTGGAAGACTAGGCTCAAATCTTCATGCTACTCAGTAATTACTCTGATGTTAGGCAAAGTACTATTTTCTCTGAAATTACCACATATGCATAAAGATGCCTGTTCCTATATTTGTGATGTCAGCTTTAAATGAGATACTGTGTTTGTGAAGATGCTTAATTTAGTGCCTGGTCCATAGTAAGGGCTCTTTTAATCTTTCATGAAGGCATGTTGTCTTCATTCTTTATCATCACTCAGTAGTAGGGAATAGACTCTTGTTCTCTCAACAATACTTCTATTTGAATTAAGATTAAATAAATACAAATACTTAAAATATTTACACATGTAGGGAAGAAAAATGTTAAACTCGAACAGAAAAGAAAAAACAATCACCATTATATTGTGAAGCTGAAGAAATGATGGGAAAGAGGGAGAGAATCTCAGTTTGATTTGCAAGATGGGATATTACACAGAGAGAATGCCATCCATATATGGGAAGGCTGGGGGCAAAAATTCTAGCCATATCTCAAAAAGAATAAATCACTAGAAAGAATTAAGCAAATTGGAGTAAAAAAGTTGCACTAGAGTGAATCGGCAACCAACAGAATGGGAAAAAATTTTTGCAGCTTACCCATCTGACAAAGGGCTGATATCCAGAATTTACAAAGAACTCAAACAGATTTACAGGAAAAAAACAAACAAGCCCATTCAAAAGTGGGCAAAGGATATGAACAGACACTTTACGAAAGAAGACATATATGAGGCCAAAACAATCATATGAAAAAATGCTCATCGTCACTGGTCATCAGAGAGATGCAAATCAAAACCACATTGAGATACCATCTCACGCCAGTTAGAATGGCAATCATTAAAAAATCTGGAGACGACAGATGCTGGAGAGGATGTGGAGAAAAAGCAACACTTTTACACTGTTGGTGGGAGTGTAAATTAGTCCAACCATTGTGGAAGACAGTGTGGCGATTCCTCAAGGCCTTAGAAATAGAAATTCCATTTGACCCAGCAATCCCATTACTGGGTATATACCCAAAAGACTATAAATCATTCTACTATAAGGACACATGCACACGAATGTTTATTGCAGCACTGTTTACAATAGCAAAGACCTGGAATCAACCCAAATGCCCATTGATGATAGACTGGATTGGGAAAATGTGGCACATATACACCATGGAATATTATGCAGCAATCAGAAATGATGAGTTTGTGTCGTTTGTAGGGACATGGATGAATCTGGAGAACATCATCCTCAGCAAACTGACACAAGAACAGAAAATGAAACACCGCATATTCTCACTCATAGGTGGGTGATGAAAAATGAGAACACATGGACACCGAGAGGGGAGTACTAAACGCTGGGGTCTATTGGGGGGAAAAGGGGAGGGCCAGTGGGAGGTGGAGGTGGGGAGGGATAGCCTGGGGAGAAACGCCAAATGTGGGTGAAGGGGTGAAAGCAAACAAAACACACTGCCATGTGTGTACCTATGCAACTGTACTGCATGCTCTGCACATGTACCCCAAAACCTAAAATGCAATAAAAAAATAAGAATAAAAAAATTAAAAAAAGAAAAAAAAAGTTGCACAAGATAGTGAATGTCTATTACTTAAGAATGGTTGGGTTTTTCTGCACAATTGGTTTTTCTGCTAATCACTGAATTTCCCCTCCAAAAACAAGGTGCTGAAGAAAAAGAATTAAAACTTATATAAAATAAATTATTACACTACCCAGAGTAGGAGTGATGATTTTTTAAAAAAGAGGAACCACAGGGAATGGGCAGTGTTCCAATGTCTATAACAGAATGCTTTGCAGATAATGTATTTAATAGTGAGTGATGATAGATTAATTTAATTAGAATTCTTGCAGGAAATCAGAGATATTTGCTGAAGAGAAGGTCAGATGATCAAAGTAAGATCACAATTTCTTCACATTGTAATCATGTCTCCCTGTTATATCCTTCATATAAACATCCCCATTAAAAAAGCTTTTTTCATCTGCTCAAAAATCACCTTATAAAAATTAGCTCAAACATATTGTGAGACTCGATACGAATGGTCGTATGTTAAGAAACATGGGGATAAATCACTTACATGTAATTGTTCATCTTTAACTCTGGGTTATGAAATATTTCACAAATAAAAGAAAGAAAAGAAAAAATTAAAGTAATTCTCAAATGTTCCTATTTTAAGTGATGTGCCCTTTCATCCCAGTGTCTAATAATGTGAATTCTTGCTGGTGCCCACCTACATCATGTAATAATTTAGTAATGGGCTTTGTAGCACACCGAGTTGAAAGAGCAAGATCTCTGGAGTTAATATTAAGGGGTAGGAAATTTCGGTGTAATGAAAAATTATAAAGGCTGGTGAGCTTATTCAGAGGGATGGGCTCTTTCTGAATACCATCATCACTGATTAATAGCTCGTGAGCAACAATAATTACACATTTGGCTCTGATTTTCTTGGTTGTAATAAACTCTCAATTTTTGTTTAAACTTGTTGCAGAGGTTTTTATGTTTTCCTTCAGAGAAGGATTTTATGGACTCTAATTTATCTAAAAAATATATAAAATGATGAAGAAATTACATGTTCCCATAACAGAGATCTAAGATGGGAAAGAGTTACACTAACAATGTGCAGAGCCACCCCATGAACCCAGAGGCAACACCCCAGGAAAAGAGAACTCAACACCATTTGAGCCAAAAGTGGTCTTCAGTCTCTAACCTACATGTGGAATATTTAATCAGCAGTCTATTTGTAGTTTCCTATAAATTTATCAGATTATGATTTTGTACAGAATCGTAACTCTTCAAGAATAGAGAATTTGGTGTTCCCCCTTACATAGGTATATATTCACAAAGAGTTATGTAGGCTAAAGATATTATAAATGTAACCCTTTTAGCTTCTAATACTTTTTTTGTAAATAATGTATTAACTTCAGTAATCTACTTTTCAACTGTTTTCCTACATATACATCATCTATTCTTTTCTTGATATATTTATTTGTAAAAAATAGAAACTTAGTCCAATACAACACAAATCTAACACACACACACACACACACACATTTTTAAAATGTATTATACTTTGGACAGTATGATTCTACCTTCATGCACAGTATTTATGCCATCAAGCTTTACTTATGCAAAAATAAATACTGATCTTTACTTATAATACCATTTATAATTTTCTATAAATGATGAGAAGTCGGCTGGACTTCCATCTGAATCGTTAGAGCTGTTTGAAACACAGGAGTGGGAGAATAACTGAGGCCGTCAAAGGAATGTACACACATATGCACGTACATATTCACACCCCTCACATTTGAGTGTATTTTGCTGTATCTAGATATTTTTGTACATTTCTCCAATTACAAATGTCTTAAATAAAGAAGCAGTTTTTTTCTATATAGTCTATGCACCCAAGATACGTAGGATGTTGTCTATAGAAGAATATAAATGGCTCACATCCTATTTCTTTTTAAAATACTTGCACATTTTAATTTTTTAGTGAAGATTATAGATCCCTGCCTCTGTGTGTGTGTGTGTGTGTGTGTATAGTAGTGTGCATATGGATAATCATAGATAGCAAAACACAAATTTTACTTTTCTTCTTGAAAGGCAGATTTAATGTTATCTTAAATTAAAAAATCTAGTACCTCTACAAAAATATGCATTTATATAGAGAAATTATTTTTCAATTATAATTCTAATATGCAAATTGAAAATCCAAATGAAAATACCTGAGATTATAGCTCTATCTGTCTATCTATCATCTATATCTATACAAATAAGAATGACCAAATTGTACTGAATAGTCTTATCTTTAGCCTCCAGTATGATCTGTAGTTCATAATTTTGATCTATCTACCAGACCCTTATAATATATCCTTTCTTTTCTGCTTCAGAATCTTACCACTTGTTTTATCTGCTGCTGAGACAACCCAATCCTGCATGAGTTACAGCTGCCAACTTCACAAAGGTACAACCTGAGACTGTCTCATTGCATGTCTGCACTGCATACCTTTTGCCTTATACCTGTAGCTTCTTGGTTCACATTAAAACATGAGATATCTCAGGGCTCTCTTGGAGTCCTCACATGCATAAGCTAGATGTATGTGAGTTAAACTCTGTGAGGTGTACCAATGAGAGACAGGCAGCTGTGGGGTCTGTGGGGTGACCTGTGGGATACAGGAGCTGAGGGATAAATGTTTTCCCTTCTAAGAATAGACCAGACTGAGAAGCAGTTGTTTCTGTAGCCTCCTGGAAAAGGGATCACAGTAAAATCTATCAATCTGTTGCATTTGATCCAATGCAGTGGCCAACTAAATGACCCATTATTTTATCGGTGTGCCCTTGTTTCTATCTTCCTTCTCATTCCCTTCCCTCCCTCTCCCTGGGATTAAACTCTTCAATAAATTTCAAGCCTCTGCTTTGCTCTCTGGGGAACTCAGATTAAAAACTGAAGATAAACCTCACGAGTCCACTGGCAATAAAGATTCATTTGCGGTTGGTATTTGGTGATGTTAGCTCATGCATATATTGGTATCACAATTACTAAGGATTTAGTCTACAGCAAAATTAGATAAACTTCAGATAGAAGCTGAGGTGCTGAGTTTTACAACGGCAGTTGCTCTTTAATGCTATGGTGTAAAGAGAATACAAGAGCCCTGGCTATTGTTAACAGCATTAAAATCTTTGATAGAAAAGAATGATAGGCTAAAGAAAACCAAATGCCAGTTGAAGCCCAAAGACCTTTATCGCAGCTTGTAAAGAAACTGTTGTTCTGTGCCAATAGAGCAGTCTGCAGTGAATATCCAGCCTGAACAGGTCTCCAATGTCAAAATCAGGTCTCTCATAGAAAAAGACAGGTGTTCTACAACCTTTTGTGAGGCTATTTGATGGGGCAAGATGGAGATTCTTGAAACCCTGGATTCCTATGAACCTTCTGGGCTAGCAGAAGCAACCCTTCCTTCATGCTTCATTGTTGAAGCAAACTGCTTTTCTCTGAAACCATGCAGTAAATCCACTGAGACAAATGCCTTGCAAGATGATGTTTGTTTCTCAGCAGAATTTGCCTCTACCATCCCTCACTGCCTTCAGGTTAATCCACACAGTCAGTCAAATCTCTCAGCAAAGCCATTTCTCATGAAGGAGATAGCCCATTTCCTTAAGGGAGTTCAGTATCTGGTAATATGTACTAACAAGGGCAATGAAAGACACGTAGAGGAATGGAAATGAGTGTGTTCACCAGGAGAATATGAAATACAAAGCTAGATAATGGAGGATTTATTGACTCTAGAACATTACCCCATCAGGTTGGATTCAACATTCTGACATGAACCCTAGAATCTAGTAGTAGTAATCTGCTGGTTTAGTTCCTTAACTAAGGGCATGATCATGCCCTCCAAAAAAGTATATGTTATTTTCAAAATCCAAAGCAGACCATCAAGCCTTGTATCTCTTTCTTAGTAGTAGGGAGTAGTAGGAGTAATAGCAGAGGAGGAGGCAAAGTGAACTAGCTTTTCTTTTGCTTTAGAGGGGATTTCCAAACATGCTGCCAGACACTGGATCCTAAAATCTTTGATGCGGTGGGCTCCTAGACCCTTTGGGGTTTATCTCTGTCTCCCTGACATGGAACATTTTAGGAGGGTATCCAGAGTGTTTTCCATTTCCTTCTTGTCAGATCAAATTGGTTTGATGTCATCAATATAATAGAACAGCTAACACTGGGTAGAACGTCAAGATGATCATGTCCCTATGACTATATTCTTATAAAAAACACAAGACATAAAATAGCTTTGGGGCAATACACTGAATGTGAACTGTTATATCTGCTATGTAAATGCAAATTGCTTTTTTCTTTTCTCTTGTTTGGGGTAGAGAAGAAAGTATTTGCTACAAGAACAATTGACATATACCAGAAGAGAGAGGATGTCAATCTGCTCTAGTGATGACACATTTAGCATGACAGGTGTGATTGAGACTACTCTCTGGTGAAGTTTTCATTAGTTTACTGTCACTTGCCACATTTCATCTGTTTTCTAAGGTCCAGAGAGGTTACTTGAATGGAGTGATGGAAAATATCATCACTGAATCCAATAAGTTTGATAGTGGCACTAATCTCTGCAATGCTATTCCTCCTGAACTGTTCTATTGCTTCCAATCTACTATTTTGGCCAAGGCAAAGTGGATGCAGTGATCAGTTTCAGAAACTCCTGCTTGGCCCTTCCTACATCATAATCATTACTCCACTGATCAGAGGGGTAATGTGAGAGTTTGGTCAGCTAGAAAATATATTTAGTCAGATTATATGCTAGGGACCAGGTAAATAACCACAGGATTATTATAAATAATCACAGAGTGGAACCATTCTAGATAGACTTGGTTCTAAACTACATTTATGACTGGACCTTTATAAGCCTTCCATTTGGTCAGAAGATTTTAAAAGTGTTTGAAGCCCCCTAATCTTGGTGTCATCAACTCATGCTTTTCATTGTCCTTAAAATTCTGGCTATTCTCAACAACCCTGTACATGTAGTTACTGGGTAAATAGCCAGGGATTTGTGTTTGGTAGGAGGATTGATAAAATATTTACTATTTATTTGCAGAAGAGCTAACCTTGGTACATCCGTGGAATGTGTGGTTTTCGAAAGAAGTACCTGCAGTGAATTCATGATAATTGGAAGAAAGGCATGAGAAACAGATACAAAAAATGTATTATGATTAATGTTATGTGTCAGCGTGATTGGGTCACAGGGTCCCTAGACATTTGGATACACATTATTTTGGGTACATCTATGAGGGAGTTTCTGGATTAAATTACCATTTGAATTAGTAGACTGAAGGCAGATTGCTGTCCCGATCTATGTGCACTCCATTTAATCTGTTGAAGGCGTGACTACAGCAAAAAGGCTGACCTTACTCTGAGTAAGAGGAAATTTCTGTTTGCCTGACTGTCTTTAGATGGACATTTTTTTTCCTACCTTTGAACTTAAACAGGAACTGGCTATTCCTGCATCTCTAACCTTTGGGCCTTCACGCAGGAACTATGCCAAAACTTCTGTTTTCAGGCCTTTGGACTCAGACTGGAGCTACACCATCGGCTCTCCTGGGTCTCCAGATTGCTGACTGAAGATTTAGACTTGTCAATCCTCATTATCACATGAGCCAATTTCGTGCAATAAATCACACACACACACACACGCACACACACACACATACACATGCATACACACACATACACACACATACACACACACATTGGTTCTGTTTCTCTGGAAAACCCCAACCAACATAGCAGAGAAACTGGTAGGTTTGGTAGAAAGAAAGTAGGGAAATCCTCTTCTAATTGTATTTGTATCCTCAGTGAAGAGTAAAGGGAGTTTATCAGCTGAGAATGAGGATGAGGGGATATTACTCTAATAAGTACAGGCTTGTCTGCATTTAAAAGAACGGTTGAGGTGAATGGCTGCTTGGTGAAAGCCAGAGTTACTATATTTTGGCTGCTAGGGTTATCCTGAAGCCCTAGGGAAAGAGATGGATTATGTTTAATCAGCTCTCAGGATTTTACAGTTTAAAACATAATGTGATATTTGTTATCTTGTTCAATCCAGTTTGATAATATCTCCATTTTTTTTTAAATGAGAAAAATAATTTTCAGAGACCTTTAATTCAATTCGATAATACTGATAGGCCTGCTTTAATTTATGTTCTCTACAAATTACTGGCCTTTCTCTAACCCATATAAAATGGCACATTGTGACCTAGGCACTAGATCAAGCTGAACTCTATACTGTTATACCTGTTTCTCTTGTGTTGGAAAAGTGCATCATCATCTTCCAAATTGCTTAAGGTAAATGTTGTATACTGCCATTCTTGGTTCCTCTTTCCCTTTCTCCCATATGTAGTCCAGTTGCAAGTTTGGCCGACTCTATCTTCTAAATATCCTAAACCCATCTACTTCTAAATATATTCTAAACCCATCTACTTCTATTTTCATATATTTTTGGTCCAAGCAACCTTAGTCTATGACCTGAATTTCTACAGTAATCTGCTCCCTAGTCATTCTCACTTCTATTCTTGATCAATCAATCCTTTCTCCACTCAGCAGTCAAACTAGTCTCTTAAAAAATACAAATTATAGACCAGGTGCTGTGGCTCATGCCTGTGATCCCAGCACTTTGGGAGGCAGACGCAGGTTGGATCACCTGGTCATGAGTTCAAGACCAGCCTGGCCAACATGATAAAACCTCATTTCTACTAAAAATGCAAAAATTAGCTGGGCGCAGTGGCGGGTGCCTGTAATCCCAGCTACTAGTTAGGCTGAGGCAGGAGAATCACTTGAATGCAGAAGGCGGAGGTTGCAGTAAGCCAAGATTGTACCATTGCACTCTAGCCTGGATTCCAAGAGCAAAACTCTGTCTCAAAAAAAAAAAAGGAAATTATATTATGTTATTCCTCTGCATAAGATTCACAGTCCTTTCCCATTATATATAAAGTCCATTTGGAATGCCTTTCACTGACTTTCTTAACTGTCTAGGTCATGTCCTGTTCCTATTTTCCTCCATGACACTTACCCAGGGCCCATCAGTCACAGCAGTGTTGTATCTGCTCCTTGGCCATGCAAACATACTCTTGCCTTAGTTTCCTCTACTTCTTCCTCCTTACCCTTGCATGACTTTGTCTAATCATGCAAATACCAGCTTAAATGTCTTCACATTCATGTGGGTTTTCCTGACCACTCAACATAAAATACCCATCCAGGCACCTGCTATCAATCTTTACTGGATCTTTATGGAGAAAGTATCAAAATGCTAATTAAGGTTTGACTGGAGAAGGATATGTTCAGAGGTATGACAGATAAATGCTAGGGCAGGACTGTTCAGTGGAGCAAAGATAAAAATCTCTACAGCAGGTAGTTTATTGAAAAAATGCTTCCTGTCCCCAGAGACCTTTGGAGAACAACTAGGTTAAAAAAGA